TGCTGACCCCACTCTAAGTACATTGCCTTTTTAAGTAGATCAGCAAGTTGAGACAGCAGCTGCTGCCAGCAAGCTCCCTCCGTCCTGGTGTCCGTCCCCCCTTCCTGCTTTGGAGATAAGATATAGGGGGAGGGGGACACCCTGACATTAGCACCCCTCTTCCCCATCCACCCTCTGCACAGCAAGCAGGAGGCTCCCGGGAGCAGCTCCAAGGCAGAGGGCAGGAGAAGCACAGGGCAGCGTGGGGAGGGACAGCTGAACTGCCCAGCAATTGATAGCCTGCTGGGTGGCTGCCGCACAGGGAACTTAGGGAAGCGGGGAGCTGATAGGGGGTTGCCAGTCCAACCTGGTTCCAAGCCCCCTCCAGCTAGCTCCAACGGACTGTTCTTTTTGCAAGCAGTGGCCAAGCAGGTGGCTACCAAACAACATTATAAGGGAGCATTGCGCAGCTTTAAACGAGCATGTTCTCTAATTGATCAGCAACGAAACAGCGTTAACTAGGACAACTTTGTGAGGAGTTACTGTACTGCTCTATCATTCAGATCCTGATTCAGCAGAATACTCAGGCATATCCTTAAAATCCATTTAAGTCAGTGGGATTAAAGAACATGCACAGTGGTTAGAACCCCTTTAAATCGGGTATTTCCTAATTTGAGTGGTTGATTTTGCATCTCTACCCTTTTTGTTGTTTCCAGTGTGTGTTCTGACCATTACACAAATAGTTGTATGTTAGTGAAATTATGCATTTCTGTATATAGAAGGTTTGAAATCTGCCATGAGACAATTATATATCAAGGATTTTGGGATTATCGGAGGAAAATTATTTATATTTAATAATTCCAAATCATTGTAGAAGTTGTTAAAATCTCTCATTGTTTCCAGCTGGCTGTATTCATTTATTATGCTGTTTGGAAGCCCCAGAAACAGTGGATCACGCTGGATACAGGTGTCTGGAACAGTCCCTTTATTTATAGGCCTGACAAGAGGGAAGAAACTTGGAGATTCATTTCATATATGCTAGTGCATGCTGGGTAAGCAATGTAACAATGGACTCTACAAACAGTCAACCTGTGGAACTCTTTGCCAGAGGATGTTGGGAAGGCTAAGACTATAACAAGGTCAAACAAGAACGAGATAAGTCCATGGAGGATAGGTCCATTATGACTATTAGCCAGGATGGGCAAGGATAGTGTCCCTAGCCTCTGTTTGCCAGAAGCTGGGAATGGGTGACAGGGGATGGATCACTTGATGATTATCTGTTATGTTCATTCCCTCTGAAGTACCTGGCATTGGCCGTGTTGGAAGACAGGATACAGGCTAGATGGATCTTTGGTCTGACCCAGTCTGGCCGTTCTTATGTTCTAAACAGGTTTTTCAGAGAAGCCAAAGGGAGTTAGGTGTCATTCCATTAGGTTCCTCTGAAAATCTCAGTCTATGTCAAAAATTTATGTATTCATTGAGGAAAATGGAAGATTTTACCTTGTAAGATTTATAAAGATCATGTGGTCAGGACCCTAGTCTTAAGACTTGTCTGCAGGATGATGCTTCTGGGCACCATACTGAGGCAGTAGGATCTGCATCATGATAGGCTGTCCCCTTTAAAGGTAGTGGTGCCTAGTTGTGAGCCCACCCCAGTCACATGGCATGGCCCTTCTCATATTTTGGGAGGTTTTGATATAGGATAAGACATAAGAAATAAGAGGAATTTGTGGAGAGGAAGCAGTCCCAGGAATAAATAATGTTTGGGAGAAATTTTATTACTGTTTCTTTAAGGGCCTTGGCTCAGGAGCCTTGCAGAGTGGGCAGGGCAAGGCTCTTCTCTCGCCCAACCAACTGGGTATGAGGTGGAAGAAGGGAACTAGTATGCTGCCTCTTCCCCGATAACAGGGCAGACAACAGCAGGAGAGCACTGCCTGCTGCACCCTCTGAGCCTGAGAACTAATTGGGGTAAGGGGCCAGCTGAAAGTGGATAAGGCCCTACAGCTGTCCGAAATTATAACCCAGCTCAAAGGAGGAGAATGGAAGGCTGCAGTTTTAAGGAGAGAAACTGTTGGAAATATCACCCAGCTCTGGGAGGAGGGCTGGGACCTCCTGAATGGGAGCAAAAAGTCTATAAGGACTCTTACATGGACCCACAGGGGACATGAACTTCAACTCAGAAGTGAGTTACATGCTGTAGAATAGTTAATAAATCAGACTCCCACGAAGGTGATATTGGTTTACCAGTCTAGGTAATTAATTGAAATAACCTGAGTTGGTGCTGGAGGCAATGAACCTGCAGGGCCACAAAGGGGGCCATGTTCAAGGGCAGCACCCCATGACAGGGTCAGTAATGACAAGATTTCCACCTAGTGAACTGCCAGCACCACTTCCTGCAGCAGTGAGGTGTCACTCCATTCCAAAATGTGACCTAATCCATCAGTGTTTAGTTTGTGAGATCAGTACAAGGTAGTATAGATAGCATGGCTGTAGTATAGTTTTAATCCTACCTGAAAAGGTACAAAGAAGGGCAACAAAAAATATTAAAGGCAAGGATCAGCTTCCATAGGAGGAGAGATTAAACAGACTGGAACTGTTCAGCTTTGAAAAGAGAAGACTAAGGGGGGATAAGATAGATGTCTAAAATATCATGAGTAGTGTGGAGAAAGTGAATAAGGAAGTGTTATTTACTCTTTCACATAACACAAGAACTAGGGGTCACCCTATAGAATTAATAGGCAGCAGCTTTAAAACAAACATAAGAAAGTACTTCTTCACCCAATGTGCAATCAATCTGTGGAACTCATTGCTAGGGTCCAAAAGTACAACTGGGTTAAAAAAAGAATTAAATAAGTTCATGAAGGACAGGTCCATCAATGATTATTAGCCAAGAGGTCAAGGCTGCAAACCCATTCTTTGGGTGTCCCTAGACCTCTGACTACCAGAAGCTGGGACAGCACGACAGGGGATGGATCACTCGATAATTGCTCTGATCTGTTCATTCCCTCTGATGCATCTGGCACTGGCCTGTCATAAGACAGGATACTGGGTTAGATGGACCATTGGTCTGACCCACTATGGCCATGTTTTACCTTTTTTTTTGAGACCTGTTCTTCATAATCTGTGCTCCAGTTCTGCCTTTCCACCAGAGTCCCTTACTCTGACTTGTATGCAGACTCTGGCCTTCCAGATCCAAATGCATAGCCCTGACTCCACCCCCTAAAAAGTAAGGCTTACTTGTTTTGAGTTATTTGAGTATATAATTTATAACAGCTTTTATTTTGTCTTACTAACTTTTAAAATTTTTTATTTTGGCTGTAGAAATAAAGCATGCCCCCAGGATGCTAGCATGCCATTTTATTATGTATTAGCTATAGTTTGAGAAAACTTTAAATGTTTGTTAATTAAAATTTTGATTTTCAAATATCAACATGTTTTTCCTTGCAGCATTCAACACATTTTAGGAAATCTCTTTCTGCAACTTATTTTGGGGATCCCCTTAGAAATGGTTCATAAAGGGCATCGGGTTAGTCTGGTGTATCTCGCAGGAGTGATTGGAGGTCAGTGTGTAATGGGAAATGGGTAAGCTTAAATGAAGAACTGTCTGTATCAGAAAATCAATGTATATTATTGCCACATCCCCTTTCCTGAACAGGACAATCAAAGTTGTTGGTATACTGGATTGTGTAACAACCAGTTCTCTTGGTGCAGAGAATGTCTTGACTCCAAACTTTTACTGTAATAACATACTAGAAAACAACCCTATGTTCCACTCCACTCCACTCCACTCAGGTGTTCCTTTCAACTTTTTAGCCATTCTCCCTTCCAAATTTTTTAACACTCTAATTCATCCATACAGAAATATAAATTCATACCAAGTGTTAGCGGGCAGTATTTTACAATTAACATCTTTGAAATGGATAAGTAAATTGAATTAATTCTCAATGGAAATAGTAAACTGCATTTATTATTCTGCATTCTAAAGTCTACAGTTTATGGACTCTAGAAAAATAGGCACAGATATTGTTCCTGTAAAAGCACATCTTGAAGTTGGTTATTGTTGCCGTCTTCAGTCGGTTAATTCTATTAGAATTAACAGAGCTTCTGTTAATTCTAAATAAAATAAAATTAAAGAAGCAACAACATTGTTTCTCTGTAAATCTTACTCCATCACCAAGAAAACAAGACTTGTCTCCTCCCTACTGCTTCTAATTCTAGGTATAATGCTTTGTTACCACTTATGGTGCTTGTTTTAATACTTCCCTATTAAGGCTGCTTAAATCCTGTTGAATGATAAGACATGCATATTAACAAATCGCTATGATTTATAAATATAACTTTTTATTGACAAGTTTCTACTGATGAAAGGTAGAACAATTCCTTTCTCAGGGGACATTATAAAATGTTGAGTATAAGGGTTTAGTCTGATGGCAGTTATTGCAAAAATTCTCAAACCTCTGTATTCTCATGCATTCAGATGAAACTGTATTCTGAGTCTTATCGTATCCTCAAAGCATAGCTTCAGCTGGGAGATCATCGTACAATTGCAGTGTCCATTAAGAGGCCATTCATAGGTCTGGAGCAATGTTCCCTCTAATTTTTTCCATTCATGTGCGGAATTAATTTTGTTATGTGCAGCACCAATATCGAGGTAATGTCTGGATGTATGCCACCAGTAGAAACAAAAAACTTTTTATATATCTATAAGGGGACCATAAAGATTTCCTGGAATCTGACATTTAGGGCTGGATCCTCAGCTGGTGTACAGCAGCGATGAAGTCAGTGGAACTACTTCGATTTTCACTAGCTGAGGATTTGGCCCTTCAAGTGTATCATATTAGAATGGCTTCCTTATCACCATTGCAAGTGCATAGACTGAAGTCTTATGTACATAACAGGCTTTTCTGAAGAGCAGAAAAAAATGAAATCCTATAATGTACAACCCATATTTCAGGTTGCAGTTCCCTTTGCTCAGAATTTAATCTAGTGGCTGGCAGTGCAAAGCTGAACCTAAAGTGAGATTCCTCACCCAAATGAAATAAAAACTGTATGATGTCTTGAAGGTATTTTTCTTTGGTTAAAGGTAGTAATGTGGTGGTATTTCATGGTTTTGTATAAATCTTGGTTCAGGATGTGGATCAGACTCAATAAGGTATATATTTTTGGCAGATACAATACTGCTTATCCCCATAAATTGTGTAAATAGAGGCACCACAGAACAAAGAATAGAAACATTTAATTGCTATAACACAGGATCTTCCTTGAAAAAAAGGGGCTGGGGCCGAGGGAGAGGTGCCTGTCCCCGCTGTAGCCCTGGAGCTGGGGCTGAGAGAGAGGTGCCTCTCTTGTCCCCGCCATAGCTGGAGTTGGGGGCAGAGGCATGTCTTCCGTCCCTGCCGCAGCCCCGGCCGGAGCGTGGGCCTGGGGAGAGAGGCGTGTCTCCTGTCCATAGGTGCTAGAACTAGGAGTTCTGGGGGTGCTGCAGCACCCCTTGGGTTGAAGTGGTTGCCATTATATACAGGGTTTACAGTTTTGGTTCAATGGCTCTCAGCACCCCTAATATATAAATTGTTCCAGCATGCCTGCTTCTGTCCCCGCTGCAGCCCTGGCCGGAGCTGGGGGAGAGAGGCGTCTCTCCGCCCCCCAGCCCTGCACACCCCAAGCTCCCCCAAACCGCCATCACTGCCCCCACCCACTCTCCTTCCCTACACTTTCTCCACGCTCATCTGTGTGCACGGCTGGTGCGCAGCCCTGGATGGCGTCTTGTGCAGCCATGCACCTGAGAGGGAACACAGATCTGGAGATAGTGAGGTGGGTACTTCTAAATAATTCTTAAAATTCATTTTTAATTATACATAGAGGTCAAATCCTGCATTGAAATAAATTAGTTTTGTCTAAATAAGGACTCCATATATTTTGATATATGTTCTTTGGTAGACTTTCTCCAATCTGTCTGTTATAAGCAATACAGGCAGTAGTCACCAACAGGAAGAGAGGGCATTGGAGCCTGGGGAAATTGTCTTTCCACTGTGTCCACATGGACGGAAATGGGACCTATAACTTATTGCCAGTACATTTTCACTGTTGAGGTGGTGACAAGGCTTAGGTGTTTTATGTCACTGTCTAAAGGTGTGCTGAGCTGTGCTACTTGATATTGTAAAAGTGCCTGAGCCCTGTCTACACTAGCTGTCCTAACAGTGGAGCTTCACTGGTAGTGAATTGTAGACCTATTTTTGTCACAGTAGACTCAGACTTTGAGGCCAGAAGGGACCATCATGATCATCTAGTCTGATCAACTGCACATTGCAGGCTACAGTACCTCAACCACTCACTGCTGTAATTGACTCATAATCTCTGTCTGAGTTACTGAAGTCCTCAAATAATGATTTGAAGACTTCAAGTTACAGAGAATCCCCCATTTACACTAGTTTAAACCTCCAAGTGACCTGTGCCCCCGCTGCAGAGAAGCTGAAAAACCCCAGGGTCTCTGCCAGTCTGACTCATGGGAAATTCCTTCCTGACCGCAAATATGGTGATCAGTTAGACCCTGAGCATGTGAGCAAGACTCACCAGCCAGACACCAGGGAAAGAATTCTCTATAGTAACTCTCCGAGCCCTCCCTATCTAGTGTCCCATCACCAGCCATTGGAGATATTTGCTGCTAGCAGTTGGAGATTTGCTACATGCCATTGTGGGTAGTCTCATCCTACTATCCCCTCCATAAACTTATCAAGCTCAGTCTTGATACCAGTTAGGCTTTTTTCCCCCACTGCTCACCTTGGAAGGTTGTTCCAGAACTTCACTCCGATGGTTAGAAACCTTCATCTGATTTCGAGCCTAAGCATGTTTATGGCCAGTTTATATCCATTTGTTCTTGTGTCCACATTGGTGCTTAACTTAAATAACTCCTCTCTTTCCCTGATATTTATCCCTCTGATGTATTTATACAGAGCAATCATATCTCCCTTCAGCCTTCATTTGGCTAGGCTTAACAAGCCAACCTCTTTGAGTCTCCTCTCATTAAGTTGGTTATCCATTCCTTGGATCATCCTAGTAGCCCTTCTCTGCACCTGTTCCAGTTTGAATTAATCTTTCTTAAAGATGGGAGACCAGAATTGCACACAATATTCCAGATGAGGACTCATCAGTATAACAGTACTAACACTTCTCTGTGTCTATGGGAAATACCTCACCTGGTGCATCCTAGGACTGCATTAGCTTTTTTCACGGCCGCATCACATTGGTGTAGGTAAAGCTTTAGTTGGCCTTTTTTTCTTTCTGTTTTCTTTCCCCACTTTCTAATATATCTGTCAATCTCCTGTAATTTCAGTTGTGATCTTTAGCTTCTATTGATGTAGGTTGCAGAAAATGTCATCTTAAAGTTTCCATTAGAACTCTAGTTCTAAGGACATTTCTGTCTTTTCAGGTTCCTTGGCTAGCTCAGTCTGTGATCCCCTCCAGGCTCTCGTAGGGGCTTCAGGAGGAGTCTATGCTCTCATTGGAGGATACTTTATGAATGTTTTAGTGGTAAGGAAACAATCAGAAATGCACAGAAAAAAACAGCTTCTTTGTGGATCTTTGTTCACTTTTGGATCAATCTTATTTGTGTAAATAAAATGTTCAGATTTTTTCAGCAAAGGAATAATTAAGGAAAATGCAACTCCCACATACATATGTGCTGAACAAGCAGTGTCTGTCCTTGAGAAATCAAAGCTTCACAGATGCTTTTTTGGCTATTAAAAGAGGAAAAAGTGGATTTAGCAGTTGACATCATTTTTCAGCCAAAGTGACATTGGACTATAGAAATTGCTGTTTGCGATCCCATGTAGTGCAGTATTCTGTCTCAGCTAGTTGCCAAAATCAGATGCTTTAGAAGTACAAGAAACCCCATAGTAGACAATTATGGAATAAGCTGCAAACAAACAAAAAACAAAACCAAAAAACCCTCTAAACTCTAGGGCTTCAGTTAGAACTTGACTGATGCCCTGAAGCATGAGGGTTTGTATATCCCTTTAAAAAATAATTTTGGCTATATATTCATGTAAATGTCTAATTGTATTGATCTCATTTTGGGTGCAGTAGTTCAACTTAACAGGAACTTTAAACCTTTATTTTGGGAATCTTTTATGTCTATCACCCACACATACCAAAAAGCAATACAAACCCCAGCTTACTCAAACTTGTAGTCTAACGTAAAATCTTGGTGACCTCAGCATTGTTTAGCCAGAATAACTTCCCAAATGCTTGGAATGTGTGACAATCACATGTTCTGGTCTCTCAGTATAATAAATGTAAAAGCACATGAGGTCTCTGTTAAGGTTTTGCATTGGAATGCAAGTTTTATGAAGCTGGGGTACATACTGATTTTTTTGGTGTTTGTGGGAGATGGAAGTGAAAACTGTATGGAGTGTTGGGGAGCATTATCACTAATGTTTTAGGGAAACAAAGGTGGAAAGGAGTGCATAGGTCTCTCCCAGTAACTCGTTACTTTATTTCTTTTAAGATTTCAGATGAAGTGTCCTGCTACATAACCTTAACTGCAACTAAACATATTTTTATTTGCTAATTAAGATCTTGGCTTCAGTGATCTCTAGTGTCAGAGAAGCTGACTGTATATTGGGTGGCTTTTTAAAAAATGATTTAGTTTAATCAGTCACCAAAGGTGGGTCCTACTCTTTTAATTCTAAACATTAGTTCATGGAAACATCAGTTCTTCAGCAAATCTTCTCTTAAGAAGTTCGGTCAGCAGTCAAACCTTTCTTTTCTGTGTGATCACAGGCAGTATGAATTATAAATGATACATTAAAGAGTTCACATCACCATAGTTTTCAAGTAAACAAAGAGGGGGCCTGGTTCAGCAAATAGCATTGAGTCTCCACCACCAAAGGCATGAGAGGCTCTAAAGAAAATTGGTATCCTTTGTGTAAGGCAAAAACATTGTTTTGCAGGATAATCATTTTCAAAGGGCTGACAGTACTCAGATTGCATCTTCTTTTTTTAGTAATTTTTATCACCAAAAGGCATACAAAAGGACACATGTTTTCATTATAAAATAAGGAGGAATCTGAAAGATGTGATAATAGCGGTGGTCTAGTGGATTAAGCTACTTGTTGTTGGAGTTTGGGCATGCCACTTTCCCTTTCTGTGCCTCAGTTTCCCCATCTGTAAAATGCGGAGAATGATACTGACTCTCCTTAGTAAAATGCTTTGTGATTGTTTGAAAGGCGCTACAGAAATATAGGGTGTTTCTTAATGTATATGAATCTACCTAAATGGACTGTTTTGTGTGTGTGTGTGTGTGTGTATGTGTATGCATGTACAAGTCCATGTGTATAATTATATAGCTTAATTGTTTCTTTTTTTCTCTCCAAGAACTTCAGAGAAATGATTCCTTTGTTTGGAGTCTTCAGATTGCTCCTCATCGGGATTATAGGTAATTTTAATCCTACCTAGTATGTATGTGAGAATAAAATCTATGCAAGACACCCAGTATTAAACTGTACAAAAATGAATGCCCATTTGGAGTCCAAAATACTAATAGTTAGGGAGGTATCAGTTGCATATTATTCACTTTGCTAAAACCACAAAGTACACCTCTACCCCGATATAACGCGACCCAATATAACACTAATTCAGAAAGAACACGGTAAAGCAGCGCTCCAGGGGGGGGTGGGGGGGGCGCCTGCATGCTCCGGTGATCGAAGCAAGTTCGATATAATGCGGTTTCACCTATAACGCGGTAAGATTTTTTGGCTCCCGAGGACAGCGTTATATCGGGGTAGAAGTGTAAATGTAAATTGGGGTTAGGTTAAATTATAATGTAAACTGATCTGAGCCTTAAACTATTTAGTGTTGCTTTGTGCTTTTAAATACTAATAATTACCTGTGTAGTGCCACAGCTATGTATGGTGCTTGATAAAACTCTAGCTAAATTTTGGTCTGTTAGAAGGGTGGAACTGAAGTCAATAGGAGTTGGAATCATGTGGCTGAGAGTAGAATTTGGTCAGATTCTTATTTTACTAGCTCCTGCATTTCACTCCAAAAGTGACTGCTTCAGTTGTGGGTGAGATGATCTCTTTGTAGTTAGCTTTGTAGATGCCACCTGAAGACATACCATGTTGTAACTTACAACCATTATTTGGATTTGTTTCTGAAATGTCTTGTCATTCTTATGATAATTGTGTTTTCTTAGTTGGAACAGATATGGGATTTGCTCTGTATAGAAGATTTATCGCTCCTGTGAATGGGCCTCAAGTAAGTGCAGTCTTCACTAAAATAGCTTTGGATAAATTATAACTAATGCTCTACTAGACCTTAGATAATACCTCAGTATTAACTATTGGAATTTAGTAGAAAAATAGTGTTTTAAATAGTAAAAGATTGTGGTCATTCCTCTTGCACCAAGAAACACAATGGCACATAATCCTAACTATACATACAAAATGATGGGGTATAAATTAGTTATTACCATTCAAGAAACCGATCTTTGAGTCATCGTGGATAGTTCTCTGTAAACATCAGCTCAATATGCAGTGGCAGTCAAAAAAGCTAACAGAATGTTAGGACCCATTAGGAAAGGGAGAGATAATAAGATGGAAAATATCATGATGCCATTATATAAATCCATATATGCCCACACTTTTAATACTGCATGATGTTCTGGTTGCCCCATCTCAAAAAGGTATATTAGAAATGGAAAAGGTACAGAGAAGGGCAACAAATATGATTATGGGTATGGAATAGCTTTCACATGAGGAGAGAGAGAAAAAAGACTGGGATTGTTCAGTTTAGAAGAGAGATGACTTAAGAGGGGATATGATAAAGGTCTACAAAATCATGAATGGTGTGGAGAAAGTGAATAGGAAAGGGTGTTTTATCCCTTCACGTAACACAAGAACCAGTGCTAACCCAATGAAATTAATAGGTAGCAGCTTTAAAACAAATATCAGGAAATACTTCTCATACAACATGCAGTCAACCTTTGGAACTTGTTACAGGCCAGAGAACTTCCCAGAATAATTGCTAGAAAAAACATCCAATCTTGATTTAAATATTTTCAGTGATGGAGAATCCACCATCACTTTTTTTGTAAATTGTCGCAATGGCTTATTACCTTCTATGTCAAAAATTTACACCTTATTTCCAATCTGAATTTGTCTAGCTTCAACTTCGAGCCATTGGATTGTGTTATACCTTTTTCTGCTAGATTGAAGAGCCCATTATTAAATATTTGTTCCCCATGTAGATACTTACAGTGCAATCAAGTCACCCCTTAACCTTCTCTTTGTTAAGACTGAGCTCCTTCAGTCTATCTATTGATCACTATAAGGTATGTTTTCTAATCCTTAATCATTCTCGTGGCTCTTCTCTAAACTCTCTCCAGTTTATCGACATCAGAACTGGATAATATTCCAGCAATGGTTGCACCAATGCCAAATACAGAAGTAAAATAACCTCTCTACTTCTACTTGAGATTTCCCTGGATCACATTAGCTCTTTTGGCTACAGCGTCACACTGGGAGCTCATGTTTAGCTGATTTACCCCCCATGACACCCAAATCTTTTTCATTATCACTGCTTTCCAGGATAGTCCCCCATCCTGTAAATATGGCCTACATTCTTTGTTCCCACCCATATTAAAACGCATATTGTTTGCTTGTGCCCAGCTTTCCAAGTGATCCAGCTTGCTCTGAATTGGTGACCTGTCCTCTTCATTATTTATAACTTCCCCAACTTTTGCGTCATCTGCAAACTTTCAGTGACTTTGTATTTTCTCCCAGGTCATTGGAAAAAAATGTTAAATTGTGTTAGGACCAAGAAGTGATCCCTAAGGTACCCCACTGGAAACAGACCCGCTTAATGATGATTCCTTTGCAACTAAATTTTGAGCCAATTTTTAGTCTTTTGAATGTATGCCATGTTAATTTTATATGGTTGTAGTTTTTAATCAAAATGTCATGTGGTACCAAGTCAAATGCCTTCCAGTTTATGCGTAGTAGGTCAACACTATTGCCTTTATCAACCAAACTTGTAATCTCATAAAAAAATTAAATTAGTTTTTCAGGATCTATTTTCCATAAACCCATGTTGATTTTCATTCATTACGTTACCCTCTTTCAATTCTTTATTAATTGAACAGCCACTCCATTATCTTGACCGGGATCGATATCAGTCTGACAAGTCTAGAATTACCCAAGTTACCCTGTTTACTCTTTTTAAAAATTGGCACATTACCTTTCTTCCAGTCTTCTGGAACTTCCCTGGTGCTCCAAGACTTATTGAAAATCAATGGTCCAGGAAGCTCCTTAGATGGCTTTGTTAAATCTCTTGGATGCAAGTTACCTGGACCTGCTGATTTTAAAATGTCTAATGTTAGTAGCTTCTGTTTAACATTTCCAGAGATACTAATAGAATGGAAAGACTGTTATCACCATGTGATGAGAATATCATGTTTTTTTTCCCAAATACAGAACAGAAATATTTATTGACCACTTCTGCCTTTTCTGTATTATTATTAATTTCTATCTAGTAGTGGGCCAATACCATTGTCGGGACTTTTTTGTTTGTAATATATTTAAAAAAATTCCTTCTTACTGTTCTTAATTGTGTTAGCCATAGATTTCTCTGTGTCCCTTTACTTCCCTTCTCAATTTTCTACAGTTCCTAACTTCTGAATTATATTCATTACTATCAACTTTCCATTTCTTCCATTTTGTTACTTTTTTTATAGCTGCCTTCATTTCCCCTCTAAACCAGGAGACTTTTCCCTCAATTGTGGGATTGTGACTTTTTGGGCATCTAGTTAGGTGTTCTTTGATGGCTCCCAATTATCATTTACATTTTTCTGATTAAATTCTTCCTCCCAGTTACTTGGCTTATAAAAAGTTGAAGATACATTTGTTAACTTAAATAATGTATAGGGGCACAGATCTGGGATGGGTGCTTATTATTCGTAATAAGCTGTTACCTCTGTCTGAGACCAAGATTTTTGGTACATTTTAAAGACTTCTTTCCTTGTAGAAGCTGTATCCAGCCATGAAACAGGCTACATATTTAATAAAATACTATCTTTATGAAATACAGCATTGCATGTAGATTTCTCCACTATACTGTCAATGTACTTGTGTCGTAATTCTTGCAGGTAATTTAGTACTGATTAAGATAACTATGGGTCTATTTTAAACTCAGAGTAAGTAAAGCAAGACTTTTATCCCTTGCTGTCTATTGCTTAATCACAATGGGCATACTAAGGGAAGTATAGTTGTGTTTAAGAATTACTATGTATTTGAGCATGGACAGCACACTCATCTTTCAGAACAAAGGGCAGACAAGGGCACTGCCCTTGAACTATTTAAATTGTAATAAATAGCACAGTCCCCATAAATAATTTTTTATGAAGAATGGTGTGGGGAGGAAGGGGTGTGGCGGAAGAGAGGTTGAAGGAGTGGTAAACCAGGTCAGGAATACTGTTCCGTTAACATAGAGGCACGTGGTATAAAGCAGGAAGGAAATTAGGACATGCCTAGGCATGCATCTTGAGCACAGGCATGGAGAAGAATAGAAGAGAGGTAGCAAGGAGGGAGCCCAGAAGGCAGGAGCCTGAAAAACAGACAGGGAGTTTGAATTTAACGTGGAAGGTGAGAAAACCGCTAAGGGACTTAAAGAAGGGACAAATGTGGTAGGAGCAGTGGTGACTTTTACAGAATGCTTTGGAACAATTGAGGGGTGTGAGATGAGGTCAGAAAGGCTGCCATAGGTGAAGTGAGATTTGACTGACATGGTCAGGGGTTTGGAGTGTGGGAATAGAGGAACAGGTGGATTCTGAAGATGCTGAAGAGACAAAATTGGTAGGATTTATTGACAGCATCCATGTTGCAGAGAAGAAAACAGAGGAAAACCACGCTGAGATTAATTCTTTGAGGACAGGGAGGATGGTAGTAATGTCCACAGTGATAGAAAGAAGACTAAGTTCAATTTTCTTCATGTTGAGTTCAAGCTGATTGCAGTATATCCAAAAGGAAATATTGGAGACACAGCTGGAGATAGTGTGACTGAGTGGAGATGGGGAGGTAGATGTGAAAGACATCAGCATAGAGGTGATGGATTAGATTTCCCTGGGGGTAATATGAAAAGGGAAAAGAAAGCCAATGAAAGAGGTCTGAGGGACATTGTCAGTGAACCTGTTCAGATGTAGACTTCTTATTGTTCAAGAACTTCATTGGGACAGAATGGACTAATGTACTTTCACTCCTACAGACTTGCACTGAAATCCTAATTACGACACAAGTTATTTGTTGTTCTCAACCTTGCCCTTAAATTATTTATATCAATTTAATGTAGCTTGTTATGTAGCTCAATTTAAACTATTAACTGACAGTGCTATACATGAATATCTTTGACTCAAGAGTCACTGAAAATTCGACAATGAAATGACAGCATGGACTACATTGTCAGTTATTTCTGATTCAGATAGCTGCATTTCAGTTATAGACAATGTTATTTACATTATAAACATAACTCACAATTTGTGATTAGCAAACTCTGCTAGACACCTGGGACTGGATAGCAGGCTTGTTGGCGTCAACATTGAGTGACAACATACATATATTCCACACACACTTGAAGCTAGCATGACATCTGCTTGCTCCGATGTCTCTCTTGCCAGCTACATTAATCCCTTATTTCCTTAAGTATTAAATTTACCTACTAACTTTAAAACTCCATTTGTAGTAATCGGGCAGTGCTACAGGTATATTGTCAAACTAAATCTGTATTTTGGACTATGGCATCTTATTATCTGGTTAGAAATCTCTTCTATTATAATATTCAAAATCTCTCTTTCTGAGAAGTAATCAGTCTTGTTCTACGGTGGCCCAGTACCTGGCTGCACAAACAGCAGAGGGAGCACAAATTAACACACTATTCCTGGACCTCTCTTTAATAATCAATTACGCTGATAACAAGGAAGTAAACATGGCATAGCAGATCATTTGTGGCCATCCTGATGATGCAAGAAAGTGTATGTGTGTATTTCATGATACATTCTTACCTCAGTTCTATCTAATATACACCTCTACCCCGATACAACACTGTCCTTGGGAGCCAAAAAATCTTACCGTGTTATAAGTGAAACCACATTATATCGAACTTGCTTTGATCCGCCAGAGTGTGCAGTCCTGCCCCCCCCCCCCCCCGGAGCGCTGCTTTACCGTGTTGTATCCGAATTCGTGTTATATCGGGTCGCATTATATCGGGGTAGAGGTGTATCTAATTTTCTTCTCTCTTCCATCTAGGTTTTCATACTGCACTCATCACTGCGGTAACTGAATGCTTTACATCTATAACTTTCCTGCTCATCCTGAATATTTTTGTATATCACCTGCAGCCATGCCAACTTATACTGTGACTTTTCATATCTCAAGTTATGCATGGTTGGGCTTGGTCACACTCTAAACTGGAAACCTCCAAGGAATTTCTATATACTGTGCACACTGACTTTTAGGGAACCATGTTCCCTTGGAGTCAGTTCTGAAGGAATGTCCCAGCATGGCATTAGGGACATGCATATTTTGGATGAAGCATAAAACTGTGGTCAAAGATGTCATGATTCTCTTCATAAAAGTATATCCAAATTCTAGCCAAATTCCCAGTTCTGAATAATTTAATTCTACCTCCCTAGTTTCATACCTGCAGTTTTAATTTGATATGTAGCTGTACACTATTAAACAGCTACTGCCTTCCATCAGAGTAGCTACATTTAAATACTAATGATCCCTAAGTATCCTTTACCTATCTCATAGGCATGTGTTAAAGCTAAAGTAATATTTATAAGTGCTTTCAAATCCTTGGATGACTAATGTTACAGAAGTGCTGGTATTCCTCAGTCTTGAAATGTAACTTAACAGTTTACTTCTTTTTCTCTTAAGGTGTCCTTTGTGGCTCACATTGCTGGTGGCCTAGCTGGGATGTCAGTAGGTTATGTCATTTTCAGCTGCTTTGATAAGAACTTTATAAAAGATCCAAGATTTTGGATCTCCATTGTTGCTTATTTAGTCTTTCTGGTGTTTGCTGTATTTTTCAATATCTTTCTTTCACCAGCAAACTAAACTGCACCACCCACAAAAGAAACACTTAAATCATCAGGAAGACAACTTTAAAAAAAAAATTACCGTTTTATAACTACAAAAGGACTCCATAAATGTTGCTTTTTTAAATAATGGTTGTGTACAGACTTTAATTTTTAAAGCATTGGACCATCATTTTTATGGTTATCCTATCCCAGAAATGAAATATAGTTATTAAAATATGACCTTTTCAAAATCATATGTAACCTTTTCTATTTCCTATTGCTTTTTATACTGTTAAAGTAAATAAACATCAAGGGTTCCTGCTTGCTTTGGAATAATTCTTGCAGCTTTTGTTTTGAGCTTTTGTGACATGATTCAGTAATATTCATTTGGAAGAAATTACTTCTTCCAATACCGGTTTTCTAACCTCAAAACCAGGAGAAAAATGTTGATCAGCACAATAAAGAATTCTTTTAGAGAAAAAATTATGGTGTCAAATTTTTACAGCTGAGTAGCAAGTGTGATGATTCTTGATCTTTGTCACGTATAGTCAAAGCCTCAGGTACTTGGACACAGACTGTAAGTCCAATCTGCTGCAATGTCTCTGGATTCTGTGACATTCTGCTTCAACAGACTGGAAATGCAGTGGCAGCTCCATTCATTTAAAAAAAAAGAGATTTTACAGGAATGACAACTTATACTATTGTGGGCAAGTTTTTCAAAACTGCCTTCTTCAGGGTTTCTCGCATCTTCTTCTGAAGTACATCTCTACCCCAATATAACGCAGTCCTCGGGAGCCAAAAAATCTCACTGTTATAGGTGAGGCCGCATTATATCAGGGTAGGGAGAGGAACTGCTCCCCGCCCCAGCTCACCTCTGCTCTGCCTCCCTGAGCGCACCACCGCCGCTCTGCTTCTCCCTCTCTTGCAGGCTTGCCGCGCCAATCAGCTGTTTGGCCCAGTAAGCCTGGAAGGCAGGGGAGAGGAAGAAGAGGTGCGGCGGTGTGCTCGGGAGGCAGAGATGAGCTGGAGTGGGGAGCGGTTCCTCTGCACCCCCCATTACTTGCTGCGACCCTCCCCGGGGGGCTCCCCCACCCCAGCTCACCTCCGTTCTGCCTCCTCCCACGAGCATGCCACAGCTCCGCTTCTCTTCCCTCCCAGGCTTGCCGTGCTGGAGGTGAGCTGGGGTGGGGAGCGGTTCCTCTGCGCCCCACCTTACTTGCTGCGGCCCCCATGCCTCAGCTCACCTCCGCTCCGCCTCCTCCTATGAGCGTGCCACAGCTCCGCTTCTCCTCCCACCCAGGCTTGCCGTGCCAAACAGCTAATTGACGTGGCAAGCCTGGGAGGGAGGGGGGAGAAGGGGAGCTGCGGCGTGCTCGTGGGAGGAGGCGGAACGGAGGGGAGCTGGGGCGGGGGCGGCCCGGGAAGGACTGCAGCAAGTAATGGGCGGGTGCAGAGGAACTGCTTGTGGTAACACAAATTTGGATATAACTAGGTAAAGCAGTCCCATCCCCCGGAGCGCTGCTTTACCGTGTTATATCTGAATTCACGTTATATCGGACCGCATTATATTGGGATAGAGGTGTACTCAGAAGTGGCCACTATTAGAGCCAGGGTACAAAACTTGATGGACCACTGGTCTGTTCCAGCATTGCTGGTTTTATGTGCCAAAGAAATATGAACATGAAGATGCTGCTGTACTGGTTGTAGTCCTCTTTATATTGAACTTTATTTTACATTGTGCAGTCTTCAGCGTGCTGCACAGTTATATATTGATGATGCAGCACATTGCTAGAAGTTGGATGTTTTGGCAGTTTGGTTTTCACATCTGAGGAGGCATGGAAGCTAGTTTGTGGTTGTGGAACAGGAACATTCTCTAGATGTTTCTGCTAAAGTTATCAGCACTGAAAGAGTTGTTGACATCTTAATTGCCATTATGATCCAGACTTGATATCCTAGTGAGATAAAGGGGACACTTGTCAGAGCTATTGGTTTGTTTGTAGAATGAGGAAGACAACACTTCAAATTACATTTGATTCATATTTCAAAGTTATTTTTACGACCTGAGGGTTACATACACTTTTAATGGAAGTCTGTAGTCTAGAACAATGTTTGGGCAAAAAGTGGATTACACGGTGCATTCCATGCAGTCTTGCAAAACCATGACGCTACATCTGTCTGAGGAAAAGCAGTTTTGTGCTTCTGCCATTACCAATTAAAACATGCTTAAACAGATAAAGGTTTTCATTGTAACTTGATTTTGATCTTAATCTGGACTCATCTGATTTAGGATTTCCCTTTGCTCTGAATTTCTCTCTTCAAATATTAGAGAATTTCCCTGAACTATTGAGGATGAGTATAGTTAACACAGCTGCAGCTGATGTAGGCTGATTGTCCGGGTTCCCAGCTACCTACTTCTACAAGAGCCACTCTGAAAGAGTCCCCAACTTGTTGTCTTCCTTATTTCTCCTGGAGGGAAAAAATTCATTGTAGACTGTTCTTCCCCAACACCAGTTGATACTATTTCATTTGCCACTTTCTCCTTGTTTAAGAATAGTGACTTACCCATATGATGCTGAGACCTCCATGCTTTAATTATTTTCGACTGGTAAAGATGTGACTCTTCACATTTTGGTGACTTGACTTTGTCCACTTACTGGACCAAATTTCTAAATAACTTGCTCACTGTCTATTCTGTAATTTTCTTTGAGAATTTATGCATTTAATGAGTACAAAGTATACAAGTGAAATTAATGGAGATATCCCATCTCCTAGAATTGGAAGGGACCTTGAAAGGTCATCAAGTCCAGCCCCCTGCCTTCACTAGCAGGACCAAGTACTGATTTTGCCCCAGATCCCCAAGTGGCCCCCTCAAGGATTGAACTCACAACGCTGGGTTTAGCAGGCCAATGCTCAAACCACTGAGCTATCTCTCCCCCCTAATGCTTCCTGCTTTCTTTATTGGAAAAATTGGAAAGAGTCCAGCGGAGG